GTCAACAAGACCTCCTGGAGGGCCCTTGTATTTAAAAGTTGGGCCGGAGGAATTATATTTAATCCCTTGTTACTATATTTTGGAGGAACATTCTTCTAAGTCGTACAACACTCTGTCAGTTTGCTGTGCTGAGGTAATCTGGGTTTGCTGTGACACTGGATTTTGTACCACTGGGGTCTCAAATTCCATAATGGCTGCCCATGGTGGACAGTGTTTGGTGGAGCTCCCAGTTTTAAGACAAGTTTAAACCACATGCCTCTGGAAGCTCTATGAACTTGGAGAAATGATAGTTACTGAAAGGTCTCAGGTCTTTTGTTCATAGAGTTGCTATGAGTTGTGCGTGACTCGACTCGACAGCAATCAACAACAACAATAATACATACACACACACACACACACACACACACACACACACACACACACACAGCTGCTGCTGTGTATCTTCTAGTTAAAACCACCCAACAGCTGACTCTTCCATGGGTTTTCATTGCAGCGCAGCTTCTTACCACTAGGCCACTAGAGCGCATCTATATCTATCTATATATCTATGCTGTTGTTGTTGATTGACATCGAGCATGACTCATAGAGACCCTATGAACAAAAGGCCTTTCTATAACTATCAATATTTATCAAAGCTCAAAGTTTCCAGAGGCATGTTGTTTAGGAAGTGGATGCCACTCCTGCTTCTAAGCAAGTTATTACAGTACAGCAAAATGACAGCTAAGGGCTATACCAATTAGAACAATTTAATCCCCAAACACAACAAACTGACAATTTAGTTTGTAACTATAATAGAGAATAAGTCTTCACACGAGGCTTGAAATGAATAAAAGTTTACACCTGATTGTTAACTAAATAAAAAACATCTTACCTTCCAGAATCCAACTGCTTCAAACAAAAGCTCTCAACAGGAGACTTTCAGGCTAGGCTCAACCAACCTTTAATCACAAAGTTCTGTCCATTGGGTGGTCATGATTGGTTTAAATGAAAGGCTTTCAGCCCACAACAGATTGTCCATTAAAACAGAAGTGACCTAATAGCTTTACAACTGATTGTCAATTAAATTAGAAATGACAAAGCAGCTTAAATTAAAAACAACTTACCTTCCAGAATCCAAACTCTTCCAACAAGACGCCCCAAACAGGAGACTCTCAGGCAGGACTCAATAGACTTTAACTACAAAATGAGGAGGAATGGGTACTGATTGGTTTAAACAAGAGGCTTCCAGCACACAACTGATTGTCAATTAAATCAGAAGTGACCAAACACCTTACACTTGATTGTGAATTTAATCAAAACCAATGTACCTTGCAGAATCTAACTACTACAAACAAAACTCTGAACAGTAGAATTTCAGACTGAACCAAAGGTTTCCGGCCCACGACAGACTGTTAAGAACAGAAACGACCAAAAGATATACACCTTATTGTTAATTAAATCAGAACTATATATCTATATGTTGTTGTTGTTGATTGCCTTTAAGTAGAGCACGACTCATAGAGACCCTATAAACAAAGGCCTGAAGGCCTTCTACAACTATCGACATATATCAAAGTTCATAGAGTTTTCGGAGGCATGTTATTTAGGAAGTGGATTCCACTCTTGCTTCCAAATATATCTATATATCAATATCCAAGAGGCTTTATTGTGTTGACAGAGCAAGAAAACACTACATGGTTTAAAGTTAAGGTATGTGCCAAGGTTATATCCTTTCTCCATATGTTGTCAATCTGTATGTTGAGCAAATCATTCAAGAAGCTGGACTCTATGAAGAAGAATGTGGCATCAGGATTGGAAGAAGACTCATCGGTCACTTTTGTTATGGAGATGACACAACCTTACCTGCTTAAATTAAGGAGGACTTGAAACACTTGCTGCAGAAGATTGAAGACTGCAGCTTTCAATATGGATTGTGTAAGGGGAGCTCTGGTGGCCTAGTGGCAAGAAGCTGCACTGCAATCCCAGAAGAACACGGTTCGAATCCACCAGATGCTCTGCTGGAGAAGGAGGCACAATATCCTCCTGTACCAGTCAGATCTGATTTGACGGTACACGCACACAAAATAATAATAAGAAAAAATATGGATTGTGTCTCAATGTCAAGAAAAGGAAAATTTTCACTACTGGACATATAGGCAACATCATGAAAAGATTGAAACTGTCAATGACCTCATCTTACTTGGATCCACAATCATTACACTTGGTACAACAGTCAGAGGATCTAGAGATATACTGCAGTAGAAAAATCTGCAGTCAGAGACGTCTTCAAATTATTGTGGAGCATCACTAATGATGTTAGTTTGAGGTCTAAGATGCACCTGATTCAGGACTTGGTCTTTTCAATCACTTGCTATGCTGCTGAGAGCTGGACAATGAATAAGGATGACAGAAGAATTGAAGTCTTTGAACTGCAGTGTTGGAGAAAAGTACATGGACTGCCAAAAGAACAAACAGATGTGTCTTAGAGAAGGTAAAGCCAGAGTGCTCCTTGGAGGCAAAGATGGTAGAGTTTTGGGCATATACTTTGGGCATGTTACTGGGAAAGGCTACTTCTTGGAGAGGAACACCATTCTTGGGAAGATAGAGAGGCCGCAAAAGAGAGGAAGACATTTATCAAGGTGAACTAATACAGTGACTGCGGCATTGGGCTCAAATGTTTCAGAGACTGTGAAGATGGCACCCGATAGGACAAAGTTCAGATTTGTTGTTCATAGGGGTGCTATAAGTCATACTCGACAACACCTAACAACTATATCAGAAGTCCACTAAGAAAACAGAAAACAATGACAAAGGAAAAATATTTGAAAATATTCTCCTCCTTGTTTAATAAGTTCTAGTTATAAGAGCCTACAATATGATTTACATCGCAACATTAAGAAAATAAAAATCCTCACTAGTGGACCAATAGGCAACATCATGACACATGAACAAAAGATTGAAATTGTCAAGAATTTCTTTTTTACTTGGATCCACAATCAACGTTCATAGTAGCAGCAGTCAAGAAACCAAGAGTTGTTACACTAGGAAAATCTGTCTAGAAACTTTGCATCCTATAAATCCACACACCTAGAGTAAGTAGAAATTTAGTTTGAATTCTTTATAATGTTCAGTCCACCATTAACTCTTACAAACAGATCCATCCTGGAGAGGGTTAAACCAGGCTACTCCTTGGAGGCAAGGATTCTGGGGCTTCGTCTGACATACTTTGGACATGTTGCCAGGAGGGACGGGTCCTTG